GAAATAAACAAAACATTAGATTCGGGAGCTAGAAGAACGAATGCCCGTTCGCGCGGAATAAAAATTACCTACTCCTTTAAGTAGCTCTCATAATTCAAGATCCGGCTTGCCTCATACCGTAAGCGCGCCAATTCCCTTTCATTGCAAAGGAGCCTCAGGGATTTCTCCTCGGCCAGAGTTTTCCGCAGTCTGGCCTCACGGCGAAGTAGCTCAGACTTAAGCTTGTCGAAGGCTTGCAAAAGAAAACTCAATAAGGAAGGGAAGGGGCGAAACTCGAAAGGCTTGTTCCAAAAACTCACCATAGAGTGAAGTCGTTGTGCTTCCTCGAAGGTCGAGCGCACATTTCCTAACCTAGTTCCCTCAGCTCCGAAAAAGTCGGCCCCAGCCGAGACACGATCGCTCGGTGCATATGATCCCGGGCTTCGAGTACCCCCCGAAGTACCTCTAACGGAAAAAGAAGGCGGCAGCGGAGGATAAACCGCCTCTCTAGAACCAGAAACCACGGGCACGTCGGGCTCGATCAACACTTCTGCTCCGGGCCCCTGGCCCAGGTTCACCTTGCCCCGAGCGCCATCTCCCTACAAAGGTATCTCTTGCTTATTGCTATCATTATTTAGCCCAGAAGCTAGCGATCCTTATTCCCCCTAAGGGGACGCGGCCTCGCCTCGGAAGGCTCGCCGATGCCTACAATAACACGGATAGCACGCATAAAGAGAAAGTGCTTTTTCAACTAAAAGAAGGGAACAGATCGCACGACACATACCGTGATATTTTGACTCCCACCTATCCTTAGACAAAGTTGGCCACTTGCGCTCGTTGCAAGTTGAGTGGGTCATCAACTTCTGAACCCAATACGGCAGATTGGGAACCTCGCCGTCATCTACGAAATCGCTGCAGAAAAAGAAAAGAAGGCACACTTACGGAACATCCCCTCGCCATAATTGAAGAACTGTGAAGGCACGAGTGTACCACTTACGTGTATAATTCCATTCCTCAGGGAATGGCATAAACTCCACGGGGATAATATCTGCAGTTCGTACTCGGACGAATCGACTCATCCACTCCCGAACCCCGTCTTCTTCATCATCGACAACAAAAGGCGTGGCAGACCGACATCGTAAGGTTAGCAGACCTCGATGATGAAAGGGCCGGTATAGTCTGATAAGATGGCTAAGCGTGAATTCAAGCCCTGCCTTCTCCGCAAAGAACCTCACCATCAACACTATCCGCCAAAATAACGGGTGAACCTGGGCCAAGGTAACCCGATACTTTCGACAGAAGAAAACACAACCCTGTCAAGGGGGCCCAGCGTGAAGGGATACGTGAACACATTCAGAAATCCCTCGGCACGGTCCGTAATACCCTCATCCGGGAATGGTACCTGCAGTACCACCTCTTCCCTCCATCCACAATCTTTCTTCACCAACTCAAGGTGTCCTTCTCCTATCAAGGAAGTAACTCCAAGGTATGCTCCCGTTGGTCTTGAGCATCGGGGCACTTTTCTGGTAAAAAGTCCCCTCTCGAAGCAGAATGCTCCAAGCCCACAAGGCGAGAACCGGGGGCAGAACTCTCTTCTCCCTACCAAACGGATCCTGACGTAGCAGTCATAGCTATAGCAAAATTGGAGAACTGGAGCAGGAATTTAGACCAGAGCGTCAATACCGAAATAATGAAAAGCCTAACGCAGGAAAAAAGGTTAAACTCCTCAGAACAGTGGAATCTCCAAAAGGGCGGAAAAAACCCTATATATGGAAAAAGCGGCAACAATCCGCCTACCCCAGAGGCCTATTAAAATGTTGGCCGAAATCACTTTGGGAAGATGTACCGGCAAGGTCACCTCGGTCACTTTACAGTTGTGTCGCTAATTTGGCAAGCGCCATACGACGTTTCGGGGTCGGAGACCCCCGCACCAAATAAGTCCCGAGGTGGTACCCGACCTCGAGGACTTCCATCAAAAAGAAGTTAGGCTCCAGGAAGCCTTTGGAATCATCACCATTCCCGAGGTGGTAACCGATCTCGAGGACCTCCATAAAAAAGAAGTTAGGCTCCAGGAAGCCTTTGGCATCATCACCAGACCCGAGGTGGTACCCGACCTCGAGGACCTCCATCAAAAAGAAGTTAGGCTCCAGGAAGCCTTTTAGCATTATCGCCAAACCCAAGATGGTACCCGATCTCGGGGATCTCTCCAAGGGGCCGTCGATGTCATTATAAGACTCGAGATGGTACCCGGTTTCGAAGGCTCGTCTCAAGGATAAAAACAAGAACTTAAAACTTTGTTCGTGTGGGCTTGGCCTCGGGATACCATCTAAACCCGGGTAGTCCCTTATCCGGGATCTATCTACAACGCCTTAAGGCTATTTATATTAAGTTCAAGACGAGTCTCCCGACGACCCGAATTAACCCTCACTCGGGGACTGCCATCAAAAGCCTAAAGGCAGTCTCCATTCTCGAGCTACCTAGAGAATCCCACCTCGAGTATTATCACAGGGTCTAAAGGCTAAATTTCGATTTTGGGGTTCGAAGCCTACTCTCATTCAACTCGAAGTTAGGGTTCCGATGATCCGAGTTTACCAGTCCAACCCGGGCTCAATATTTGCACCGACCGATGGGGTCATGCACTTAGATTCTGCACAAGCATAGATAAAGAGAAAATAGTGTGCGTCGGAGACAAATTAAAGAAACATTTTTCATTCATAAACATTCGATTACAAAAGCCCACAAGGGGTCCTTACATATGATTACAAAAGCCCACAAGGGGTCCTTACACAGAAACAATGAAGCATCCTCGGTGGCAATATCTTTGAGCGCCATCTCCGCGGAAGTCTCATCTCGTCCCTCCAGAATGATATCTACGAGGGCGAAGATCAAGAAGAGGAAAGTGTAGGGGCAGAAAGGGATGAAAAACGCCATAGCCCGCCAAAGAGCAATGGCTTTCGCCGGGCTGGGAGGATCACAGCCCAGTAGAAGACTTGCCAGGCGTCGGCCTTACTTGCACGGCTACTTTAAGTCCACTTCTTAGGATATTGCACCGTGCAAGCTACCGGCCAGAGATACCACTTCACCCCACAGAGAGAAAAAGGGGTGAAGTGCCATACCAGGCCGGGGAAGGAAGGTGAACAACGGTGTATAGTCTGAACACCCTCATGAGCAGCGGTGTATAGTTCAAATCCCTGATCGGCCTCCCTATCTCCCTGTCTTGAGCCAACGGTGACAGCAGTAACAACAACAACAACAAGTTGGTGCAATCTTGCTCGACAAGGAGGGGCCCCGGGAAAAGGACACGATATAACTGATGAGAGCGCCACCAGGAAACTTTAAGGCTGCGGGCCTCAGGCATAGGAAACGATAGTGTATGGGGGTGGACGGAAAAAATGGGAGAAAGGCTGATTGAAGAACACTTGAGTAAGGAATTGGTTCCAGAAAGCCCCCATTTATAGAGAAAGGGCAGAGTAACCGGCGGGCACAATCAATACCCTTTTGAAAAATGCAATCGATGACGCCATCAATGTCCTTGAAAGACGTATCGGCAGGCGCGATTAATGCATTTTTGGAAACTGAATCGACAGCGATATTATCGCCTAGAAGGACGAGGATCGACTGTGCATTAAAAGACGTTGAAAAGACAAGTCAGTGAGATGCCTCGGTTGCCACAAAAGCCTATGTCATGAGTATGACGTCATCAGTATAACATTATCGTGGGAAGTTCGGAAAGATGGTTATCAAGGTCGTTTCTTGTCGTTCTACTCTAAGAAACGTGTGAACTATTTGTATACGGTAAAATCGGAGGGTCCAATTTTCCATTGTTAGGATACCCTGAAGGCTCGAAATCACGGTGGAGTTTTATCCCTCGAGGGTCATCGATGCTCGACCTCGGAACTGTATGAGGCCGATGGTTACGGGAAGAAAATGGGAAGTTCCCAAGGCGTGAAGCTGGAACCGACAAGATCTGTCAGGCTAGTCTGAGCCCGTGTCTTGGCATTAGTTAGGTGTCCCATCTCCATATCTTTGTAATAAATGCACTTGTACTATGTTGGGATTCCCCCTCTTATATAAAGGGGATCCTTATCATTTTGTAAACATCGGTTGCTCCATACTAAATATACAAGAACATTCTCTCTGCTCTCTAACATATTCTTTTGATCTTATTACTTCATTTATTGCTTGTACTTATTGTAATTCTATTCATTGTTCATCATTTATTGCTTATTATTGGCCATAAAGAGCCGATCTTGATCTATTTATAACTGTTATTCGCCATCGACCGCCTTCAATAGCTTCCAGCCGAGCTTCGGACCCGACCTCGAGGCCCTCAAATAGGCAAGCTCGAGGCCTTGATTGATAGCGATTCGGTTTGATTAACACCTCGTTCTTAAGTTCTTATTTCGTTTTTAAGTCTTTCACACAACATCAACTGCCTACCAACTAGCATAAAAATAGATCACGTATTTTTAGAACCACAAAATCAAATTCAATTGTTATTGCCATTTTCACGGTAAACAAACTTCATATCTAATCAAATACCACCATATACAATAATACGGAGGGAGTAACTTTTTCTACTAGTCAAGTCATTCTCTTTTCATTTTCATATTCTTTACGAAGCTTAATTTATATGAATTGATAGTAAAAAGAATTTTAACGCTGTCAATAAAACATAACTAACTATATAGCATGTTATTATAATAATTTTCAAATTATCACATCTGACTTAGATATAAAGAGTTACATGCAATTAAAAGTCATTTTAATTTCACAAACCTCAAAGTATAATTTTTTTTAATATATATAAGTATATAGAAATTCAAACCAGTTGCGTAGCCACCCTTGTTCAAGGTTGACACTCCTTCCCTTGAAAATTACGCGATAGAGACAAGTAATTTTTTTTTTACATATATGTGCTACTTGTTGAATTCTTTTGACTTTTCTTCATACATTCTTAGTGGAAATTCTAATTCCAGTACTGCTTAAAATTATTTCTTACATATTTTGGTTGGTAATAGATGCTTGCTAGAAGAATATGGGAAACATCAAAGTAGGCTGGCTACGACAATATTCAAGGTTTTGGCATCAGACCTGAACCTGGGACCATTACAGACTCAGTCTCATCTCTCAGTAGCCACTGGTTTACTGAGGGTGTATCGTTACCCTCGTTGCCACGAGCCAGAAGGAGCGTGGGGGATTGACGTGCACACAGATAGCTCAGTCCTCTCCATTATTCACCAAGATGAAGTTGGAGGCCTTCAAGTTTACAGCAAAGATCATCAATGGCTTGACGTCAATCCTCTTCCCAATACACTAATTGTCAATATTGGTGACATGTTGCAGGTAATTCGTTCACTTTTTCTATTTTTTTTTAATTTCAGGGTTATTCTGTATTTGGTATTCGCTCGCGATCTCGATTAATTTAAATTTACACCGCATAAAGCTCATTAAAGAGGAAGCACTTTTTATACTAGGATCTTTTTTATTTTCAGAGCTCGAACCCTAAAGTGAATAGATCCTATCGATCTTACATTGTTACTTTATCCCTTGCATTTTATCCTTTTTTTTCTAATTTTTAACTCACATAATGGTCGCTGTCCTTGTTTTATCATAAAATATTCTGAAAAAATATAAAGAAATGAGAATAGGAGATCTAGTATTACCAGCCATGATCTCGTCAATCTTTTCATCATCATCGTTCAATTTAATATACTGACATTTTAATTTATATACATAATATATTCCTTAAATTTTTTGGGAAAGAGAGTTTTACCAACCATGATAACATTAATTAATCTTTCCATCATTATAGTACAAATGAGTGGGCTGACATTTTAACTTGTATAGTGCTTTTTAGCATATAGTATCTAGTAATATTTTTAAATCATTATATAATTTATTGGACAAACGTTTAAGTCATCTACTAGTCCCAATTTTAACCTTAAGGACCAGAAACAAAGACTACTGGCCATATAGTATTACGTCTTCTCGTTGATAGCACATATTATAACTTACTTACCTAGCTAGTTCTAGATAGAACATTGGAGTGCGCACTTTTAGCAGTCATCTTAACAATTACTGTCGCAGCTATATTAGAAAATTAGATGATGGGAACTCAGGGCGGATCCAGCTTTAAGGTTATGGGTTCCCGTAAACTTTTGCTCAAACCTATATTTGTATTAATAAATTCACTAAATATCTATAAACCCAATTAGTATTGCATATTTAACTCGAGATTATTATAGGAACTCATAAACTTCAAATCTTGAATCTGCCTCTGATTGAAGTACTATAATTTATTGATTACACTGACAATATAAAAAAATTACATTATTAATGTTGTTTAATCTATTAGGGCAAGTTGTTTTCGTTTTTATGAGGTTAAATTAATGTTTATAATAAAGATTTACTTGTAATTATTTTATAAGCAACCTGATTGTGTAAATATATTAAATTTTATTACAGGCAATGAGTGATGACAAGTATATGAGCGTGAAGCATAGAGTGAAGGTGAACAAACACAAAGAGAGAATATCAATAGGTTATTTTGTATTCCCTGCCGAAGATGCTATCATTCAAAGCACAAACTACAAGCCCTTTACCTACGCCGATTTTCGAGCACAAGTTCAACATGATTTGAAGACAGTAGGCATCAAGACTGGTCTCCAGAAATTCAAGTTTACTACTCAAATCTCTTAACTGTGTACCTTAGTTTAATGGGAAAAAATGGTGCACAAATAATTAGTTCCTGCTGTATCTTTAGCTGACTGTAACTTGTATAAACTAGTAATATTCAGGTTTTTTTCTTGGTTATGATTTTTCCAATGTCCTTTCCTATTGTGAAGAAATGGTAATTGTAGATTATTCTCTTTAATTTCATTTTCGTTGTAGGATCTAGGTCCTCTAAGAATTTCAAAGTCTAATTTAAATACTATGTACTGGAATAAACCATAAAACAGATTGAAATGGTTAACCTTATATATAGCGTCTCAAGGAAATGATCTCTTATGACAATATAACTTGAAAGAAAGTTACATTACAAATATGTACCGTGTTTATTTATTTGTCACTAGTGTTAGATTTTACCAAACTCGTGTAAAATGGTCATAACTAAAATAACATTTGTAATAAATCATAAAACAGACAAAGCTAATGTATTGCTAGTGTTATAGGGTGGCATTGGTTTAAAATATCTTTAAAAAAGTACAAAGTAATAGATTTCGAACTTAATAATCAATAATTCTAGAACTTAAATCCGCAAAATTCATATACTGAAAACTGAGCTCTCTGATGGTCCCTCGGATAAATGAACAAATGATGTGCTTAGAATAATGGCCTTCATATTTGACTTTATTGGTCTCTTTCGTAATGATAAACACGAAGGTCAGTCTTGTTTCTGAAACAGTTTTTTATTAGTTGATCAGAAGAAAAACAACGGTGAATAAATATAGAAAAGTAAAAGATTTACATATTTCTAATGAAAATTTGAGATTTCTAATTTCTGGCGACAGGAACAGAATAATTAGATGAAAACTAAAGCTCCTTGCTTTGGACCACACTTGTTGTTGGGTTTCGGAGGCCAACTTTTAGCTGCTATTGAAGGCTAGTAGCCCACTAGCATTTCTACGGTCGTGGATTTAGAAATATTATTAAATGAATTTGTCGTAGGACGGCGTTGCTTTGTGAGGCCTACTCTTTTGAGATTTGAGAGTTTTAATATTTTAAAGTGAAGAATTGACCAATATAGTTGCTAGCCTCACCACTCAAACTAGAAAAAATGACGGATTACATATAATCCATATGTAATGTGTGTAAAGGTCCTGTTATAATTCTTTTGAAGTCTAAAATACATGTTGAGAGACTAATAAAAGTCCAAAATATATGTCAAGAATTTAATTTCTGCATGTTAGAGTGTATTGAGAAAATTTTGTAAAATTAGCACGGTATAGTCAGTTTTCGGATTGATCATTCAAAAATAGTCAGCGTTTACCAAGTCAATGAAAAATAGCCACTATTTTGCTGCAGCAGAGACCGGTCCATCATAATATACTGGAGTTCGGTGCACCTGTGTATGAACTCCAACATATTATGCTGGGCCGGTATACTTTGCTGGCTCCAGCATAATATACTGGAGACTGGAGCACCGGTGCTCCAAACTCCAGTATATTATGCTGGACCGGTATACTTGCTGGAACTCCAGTATATTATGCTGGAGTTCTAGTGTACTTATGCTGGAACTCCATCATATTATGCTGGAGTTCCAGCATACTTATCCTGGAACTCCAGTATAATATGCTGGAGTTCAAGTATACCCTTGCTGGAACTCCAGCATAATATACTGGCGTATTTTCCCGGTTTTGAACAGTGTTTTCGCTCAGATTTATCTTTACATGAAAAGTGGCTGAATTTCGATTACTTTTGAAACTGAGCTATTTTTGAACAACCAGTTGTAAATCTGGTTATTTTTGAATTTCTCTCGAAAATTTCACATAAGAACAACTGGGCTCCCTACTTTTCAATTTTATGGCCCATATTTCAATTTACAACAAACTAGCCCAAAAATAATAGGCTAAGATTCAACATCCAACTCTAATAGGTTCTAGAAATTACTATTTAATTTTTTAAAAAGATTTCTCAAGCTTTTAAGTTAATTTTCGAATAAGTAACTGTGACTCAAATATTAGTTCAACAAACCAAATCAATTTGGATGGTGAAAATTAGATTTTTAACAAGCTTAAATATGTGGGCTTAAATTTTGAAGATTTTGTGAGAAATTTGGAGTGAATGTTATTTAGACATGGTAGAAATAGTATAATTTGAAGTCATTTAATGGAGATTTGGACTGGTTTTGAACAAGAATTGCAACTGAAGATCGTGGAAGAAGTTCGTCTACAGACGTTTGTATAAAGGTGTATAAAAGTGTATAAGACGTGTTTATACACTCATATATACTATTATACGAGATTATACAAATAACAGATTTCGTCATCTTCCTTGCGTCTTTTCTAAAATTTAACTCAAATCTTGCTCAACTCTACTCCAAATCACTTCAAATTTTAATTTTGAACACCTTTTGATATTTTCAATCAATTGGAACAACACCTAATCCAAACAACTAACAAACTCAAAAAATTCTATTTTCAAAAGCAAAGCTTTGGATGGCCTTCAATGGTGGACTTCTACTCTTCAATTTTCTTACACTGTAACCAAGTGACACAGGATAAGAAGCAGCAATTGCGGACGACCACTTGAAGTATATATAGAAGATGTGAGAAGAAGAGAGAGTGAAAGCAATGGTTGCGAGAACACATATTTGACTCCATAGCTTTAGAAGCAATGGTTGTAAGAACACAGATTTTGAATTTGCTAGTGCTTTCAAAGTATGTACAATATGGGCTAGGTTGGGTAAAACTTAAAAATATGGGCCATTTTTTGCTATGGTGTGAAGTCATGTGTATTTTCTTGTAATTCTTTCGAGGTATAAATTGCACGGGGTGCCCTATTTGGTCGTCCCCATTTAACCTATACTCATTTTTTAAAAACTTTTAGCTTGTACCCACTTTTTAAATAAGTACAGCCCCCTTCTTCCTCATCCTCTTCCTCTTCTTCTTCTTCTTCTTCTTCTTCTTCTTCTTCTTCTTCTTCTTCTTCTTCTTCTTCTTCTTCTTCTTCCTCCTCCTCCTCCTCCTCCTCTTCCTCCTCTTCCTCGTCCTCCTCCTCCTCCTCTTCTTCCTCTTCTTCTTCCGTTTCTTCCTCTTCCTCCTCTTCCTCTTCTTCCTCCTCCTCTTCCTCCTCCTTCTTCTTCTTCCTCCTCCTCTTCTTCTTCTTCTTCCTTCTCATCGTCCAATTCATAATCTTATAGGGAATCGAAAGAATCACCTAGACTTATTCTTTTTACTTTCTCATGTACATAATAATGATGTGAATGCTTGAATTAGTCAAAAAATGAATTAAGTTGACAATGTTGAGCATATACCATGCTATAAATATCACCATTGCTGTTGTCAGTTTCCTCACCAAGAAATCCAAAAGGAAAACAAGCTAGATATGACTAAATACACAACCTTCGTTGCCCTTCTCTTCTGTCTTCTCCTTGTCGCTGCTACTGGTGAGTCAAATTAAGTAGCCTATTTTTTTTAATCAAATTAAAGGATTGGGATTTTCAGGATTGTCCCAAGATACAAAACAAAAACTTCCTTCGATAAAAATTTCAGCTCTAGAGCTAAAGTTCGCTAGTTACAAAACAAAAACTTCAGCTCTAGAGCTGAAGTTCGCCAGTTACAAAACAAAAACTTCAGCTCTAGAG